TAAAGCAATTCAATGGAAGACATATTCAAACTATGGTTTGAGACACTCAACTTGCATTTCATAGGTAATAATTTTTATTTTTTCTTTAAAAAAAAAGGATTTCTCATTAAAAATTACTTGTAAAATTAAATTACTATACTTGTAAAAATTAAATAACTGTTGTAAAAACTTAATTGTTATAAACATTTGTTGTAAAAATATTTATTGTTTCTGATTTCTTGTTTATTATATATTTACTGTCTCTAACTTGAGGATATATGCTTAGACTATACGAAATTTTGGAAGTGTTAACCACTAAAATTTTTAATGATTATTCATCAATGAAAACATTTTTAATCAATGAAAGAGAAAGTAAATGTATCAACTGTTGTGGATGAATAATTAAAAAAAAGTATCAATATAAAGCTCAAAGTTGAAATGACAGGAGAGACATGCTACTATTTTTCAATTGTTATCACAATTAGCAAAGAATGCGCTCTACATTTCAGTTGCATTAAGCTATAATGAGAGAGTGCCTATTGTCAGTGATGCTATTATAAATTATAAATATATCTTTCCACTCAGTCAGCAAAGCAATTAGTCAAATTTAAATTTTATATTTTGATTTAGTACAAGAAACAACATAATTTATGTGAAATGAAAGTATTTAACCATAAAGTTTGGTGAAAAATGAAACAAAATTTTTGAATAAAATTTTGTGTTGTTTTATTTTGTATTGGATTTTTTTAAACAATATAAAATTTGACTTGTTTAGTAATATCATAAACTGTCAAAAGGTTTTAATTACTTTGAAAAAACATTTAAACTACTTACTGTTAGGATGCTAAAAATTAAATTGCCTACCTGAAATTTACAAATAACTTCATTTCTAAAATTTTATTTTCAAGTTTCATAAAATGCAAATTTTCAATAATTTTTAACGTTCTATGTTATACAGTTCACCTAAGAAAAGTTTCATTAACGTTCTATGTTACACAAATAATTGAAGAAAAGTTTTGTTAATATTCTATGTTACACAGTTCACCAAAGAAAAGTTTCATTAATGTTCTACATTACACAGTTCACTTAAGAAAAGTTTTATTAACGTTCTATGTTACACAAATCATTGAAGAAAAGTTTCATTAACGTTTTATGTTACACAGTTCACAGAAGAAAAGTTTCATTAACATTCTATGTAACACAGTTTCATTATTTTTAAAATTGTGGTAGCAGGTTTTTTAATCTTCATATTGTTAAAAAATGTGATCAAGTTTTTAAGATAAGATGGATCCCTCACAGTGAGCAGAAGTTGGCTTTTACATACTGTGAGGGATCAAAGTATTAAATATTGATTTCAATAATGCATTGCAAGTCCCACATTACAACTTTTGACTGGTTTATATTTATCAATATCTGGTTATTACAAAAATTCAAAAACTTTTTTCATGATGTTTTAAAGACTATCACTAAATAAATTCTAAATTGATTAAGATAATAGATTAATAATAAAAATTAAAATACAAAAAATAAAAATTAATTCCATTCCGATTCCACAGATTCTCAAGGAATCGTAAGAATCGCGATTCTCTACTTTTTTAACAATTCTGATTTTTTCTAAAATGACTTTTTAATGACTTCACTTCTTTTATTAATACTTCATTGATCATTGAAATAAAATAAACACTCTTTGCCGTTAATACTCTCTTGAAATTGAAAAAAATATACACTCTTTACCGTTGTGATTTTCTTTTGTTTAATTTGTTCTAAATTTTAACTTCTGCGCTTCAAATTATTGTTGAAGTTGAGTAAACTGTGAAGAAAACCCTTAACAAAAGTAAACATTGCAAATACGCAAAATACTCCCAAAAAAGTTCAATTGAAATTTGAACCGGTGATAAGTACTATTATAATAACTTTATTTGCTTGTTTAATTATAATTGTTAATGTTTGTATTAGTATTTTTTATTGTTATAAATGCTGTTTTTATTTTAGAATATTTTATCATTATTATGTCAAAACGTAAGACAAGCGAGGTATGGGACTATTTTGCAATAAATTTAAATGACACTAACTCTGCAATATGCAGCTTTTGCAAAACAGTTATATCCAGAGGTGGGGGCAGAATCTCTCAGTCATACACAACATCGTACATGTTAAAGCATTTAAATACTTTTCATAAATCTGATATCAAAAATCAGAAACAGGATAAAGCTAGAATTATCGATTTTGATATATGTGCGGACAGCTCTACTGCAGGACCACTTTTTAAATCCAGTTCTAACCCTGCCTGTGATACTCCTACGACCATGCCAAGAGAGCCTCGATCCTCTACACTCACATCCGTATTCACAAGTCTCGGCCCTAAGTCTGAGGAGGTGGAGATCGATACTAGAAGCTCTTCTTCTACACTTAGTTCTTTAAAAATGAAGCCTAGATCTTCATCTTCTAAACAACCAACAATACATCAAGTGCTTGCAAAGACCAGGCCTCTCACATCTACAGATCTGAAGGCAATAAAGATTACAAGGCTTATTGCGGAAATGATATGCACAGATAACCAACCTGTTAGTATAGTAGAAAATCCTAGTTTCAAAAGGTTACTACAGTTTTTAGAGCCAAGATATACAATACCAAGCAGAAAATACTTCTCGACTATTGAAATTCCTAACATTTATCAGAAGGTATCAAGTAAAATTCGTTTCTTGGCAGAGAAAGCTGATTATGTTAGTATAACTACCGACATGTGGAGCTCCACAGCCAATGTTGATTACATGAGCTTAACAGCACATTTCCTCACAGAAGATATGAAACAAATTCATATTTGTCTTGATGTGGTACCTTTTCCTTACGAGTCCCACACTGCAGACAATCTTGTTAAATTTATTAATGAATCACTTGAGCGTTGGGGACTACTTGAAAAACTTAATGTAGTAGTAAGAGATAATGCCAGAAATATTGTCTCTGCTATGGAAGTAGGGAAGTTTTCAAGCATTCCTTGTCTTGCTCATACACTTCAGTTGGTTGTCAAAGATGGCTGTTTTGACAATGAACGCATTTCTTTACTAACTGCTACACGTAGAAGAATAGTAGGACACTTTAAACATTCGGTTAAATCTTACAAACTTTTGAGACAATCTCAGGAGATATTAGGACTTCCTAAACATAGTATTATTCAAGATGAGCCAACTAGATGGAATAGCACCTTCCACATGCTAAATCGTTTAATTGAACAAAAAGATGCTGTTGGTAACGCCACATTTCCCAAAAGCTGCTCGAGAATGGGACAGTTTGGTTTCTCTGGCTGCTGCTTTAAAAGTTTTTGAAGACGTCACGCTTACTGCAAGTTCATCGAAAGTGACCACATCAGAAGTTATCCCAATAATAAATGCAGTTAACATGTCACTTGATCACATTAAGGACTACAGAAACTTCAAAGAATCTCTTTGTGAATCTTTGCATCGTCGTTACGGAGACTGCGAGAACGAACCTATATATGCTTTTGCAACAATACTAGATCCCAGATTTAAAAACAAGATTTTTAGGAGCAGGACGATGGCTGAGAAAGCTGTTACTTTATTGATCTGTGACACTGGACAAAGACGAAAGTCTTGCAATTAAAGTTGTTGAAAATCATAAACGAACCACACCTGCTCCAGGTGCTGTCTGGTCATTATATAACCAAATAATCAATACAAATTCTGAAGTAAGTATTGTATGTGTTTCTATATTATTATTATACTTTAAATATTGCAATTTATTTGATATTTTGCAATATTTATATTCATTTGATATTTTGCAATATTATATATTTACATCCATGTTTCGGATTTAAAGAATTAAGAGAGGGCTGTTACCACTATTAAAAACACAAAAGAATTAAAAAAAAAATTCCTCCTTGACTGAAGTCCCCTCGGCCATGGGGAGGTGAAGAATATGAAAAAAAATTAAATTTTTTAAAAAATATTTTAGATACATACTGCGAAGTAGCAGTGTACTTAAAAGAACCTCTACTCGCAAGTCACGAAGACGTATTTGATTACTGGAGGAATTCCAAATTTTTTAATATGAAAAAACTAGCACAGAAGTATTTAGGAACGCCTCTATGTACAGTATTTTCAGAGCGGTTATTTAGTACTTCGGGGCTTATCTGCGACCGGAAAAGAAGCCGGTTAACTCCAGAACGAGTGCAAATGCTTGTGTTTTTGAACAAAAACCTGCCATTACTAAACTATCAGTACTAATGGTAGTAACTTATGTAAATGCTGAAAATATAACATTCTGTTAATCTGATCACTATTCATTACTTATGACTTTATTATTTGTTTCTTATTAACAATATGATTATATAAACATTCTGTATATTATTTAATTATTATTAATATAATATTAGTTAAGTTGCTATTATTTCACAAGACCGACACGTTTTTTTAAGAAAGGGAAGGGGGGAAAGGTTGCACACTCCCTTATTTTAAAAAAAATCCTTATTTTCTAGGTCAATTTCTAAAAAAATAGTTTTTTATAAAAAACTGTTTTTTTAGAAAAATAGTTTTTTATAAAAAAGTGGGGAGGGCGTGCTCCCTAGAGCCTCAGTGTTGTTAGCCCTGTTTCACATGTACTAATATAACTGATTTCAATGTTTTTATTTTTTAAGACTGTGTAAGTATTAAATTAACTATAAGCACTATCAGTTAAATTAAAATAATAAAAACCACAAAAGAATCGAAATCGGTAAAGAATCGGAATCGAAATTAAGAATCGGAATCGGTATTTTCTGGAATCAGCCCATCTCTAATATAAATACTTTATTTAAATTTGGTTTTGAGCCTTTATGTATTATATTTATTAAAAAGGCTACAAGTTATGGTATATAAAAATAAATAATTTGATTCAAATTATTCAAATACATCTATCAAACAGTAGATTTTTTCATTATTTTAAAAGAACAAGACTGTCCTATTGATTTAAATTAGTAATTAAATACATTCTGAAAAACATAATAAAAACAAAAATAAAAAAACAACCTTCCAATAGAGGCTGCAGACATTGCCAATCCATTTGCTAACCCAAGCATATCTGATTCTACTGAATTATTTATAAAAATATTTATTGCTAAAAACCCAGCAGCACTGGTCACTCTTACACAGATCTGTATAATAGATGTTGTAACCCATAAAGCAGATCTAGATTAAACAAATTTCTTATAAAAGGTAACAGCTTATTCAAATTATTACACAGTTCAGTTATTAAAAACTATTTACAATATTTTTTACTAATGGTAAAAAATTTTAGTGTTAAATAAAATATTAAGCCTATAATCGTGGCATTATTTAAATGATAAAAAATAATCTTCCAATAGCATAGATAATCTTTCAAGTTCATATAGTAATAAGAAGACATGAAAATCTGTTTTACTTTTACTAGCTTAACAATCAAAAACCATTACACAGCTATATTAGCATATTTATACTAGATTGATAAATCAGGAATAAAATTCTTAGTTTTATAATTTTTTAGTTATACTGTTCTATGTTTAATTAGAACTATACAATTTTGGTTAACAAAATAAATATATTACTATACCTTGATTGTATGACATCTGATATTGGGACCAGGACTACAAAAATACCATACAAGAAAGTAGATGCACAAAATACCTTGAATACAATTAAAATGAATCATAAATTGTAATTTATAATTTTGAAAAAAAATTACAAAAAAGTTTGTTTACAGTTTGTATGTTTTGTGTTATAAAGCATTTGAACAATTTTCAAAATCACAAAATGTGTAACGACAAAAAATTTTTTTTTGAAGTATCAAAAAAATCAAAAACTTTTAAAATTAAAACCATTGAACTTCGAAAAATCTCCAGATTTCAAAACATGTTTGAACTTGAATCAGCTTGCGATCTCAAAACATGTTTGAATTTGAATCATCTCCAGATCTCAAAACATGTTTGAACTCACAAGAAAAAAAGAAACAAAAGAAAACAACGAATGAGAGGGGGAAAAAGGAAAAGAAAAGTAAGTGAAGCAACAAGAAATAGAAACTGAAAACAATTTCCATTCCTAAGCTTAGCAATAGTAAAAATCTAACTGTGAAATCTGACTGTGGTAAAAATAAAGATATAACTAAACTGGACTTTGTATTTGTAGATTAGAATGGGAGCCATTTTTAGGGAAAATAGTGCTAATGGCTATGAGCCACAACAGTTATTTGGTACCAAAAAGTGAAAAGAACTTTAAAAACAGTATTCAAATTAAATAATGAAAAATTAGATTAGTTTCAATCAAAGAAGTTCTGCTGTACTCTCGAGTCCCTTATACAAGAGGGAGGTGGGAAGTTTATTAACTTTCGGAAAATACTCCTACCCACCCCATGCTTATTTAGACCCCCCTGTTTATGACCTTTTACTTGCTATCCAAAAAAATTGTTTACACTGCTTATACTGAAAAAATATTTTCAGTGTAAATTTTAATCACCAACCAAATAAATCCTAATTTATAGAAAATGAGCTTTTAATTTATTTCTCACCAAAGTATAAAATTTATAAAATCTTATTGAAATTATTATAAAACAGCTGTTAGGTAATGTGCATTTGACCACAAGCCACACTAGATTTAAATAGTTTTATGCGTATTTTGTAAAAAATATTAGTTTGAATTTATTGTAAAGAATAACCAAATTAATTATGTTGCCTTGAAAGAGCTATAATTAAACTAGTCTATAACAAAATAAAAAAATACATAAAGTATATATAGTATAATATGTATATACAAATATTTCATATTAACATAACATCTTCTTAAAATTGTTCACGTGTATTTATAAGTTGAGTTTTTCCGGTGTTTTAAAAATTTGTGAAGATCCACATCGAGGCAGGTTGATTTGCTCTATGGGATTTTGTTTTGTAGTTCCCTTTTGGAGATTAAAGGAGTTTCATTGCTACATTAGGGGTTAACAAGAGATTGTTATCATTAGCTGTTTCTTCTGGATTGTTATTTGATGTTAGTACAATAGGTCTTGTTCCAATGGGAGCCAGCTGTTTAGTAGACACTGTAGTCTCATAACCATTAGGAAATCTCACATAGGCATAATGAGGATTTGCTTCAATGAGCTGAATCTCATTTACTGAATCTTTATGTTTACTTTGCATAGCATTTCTTTTTATAAGTACAGGTCCTGGGTTAACAAGCCATGAAGGAATTGAGGACCCAGATGATGATCTTCTTTTGAAAAAAATTTAAAAGACGTTCATGTGGACTACAATTAATAGAAGCACATAATATAGATCTTGTAGCATAAAGTGCATCAGGTAGAACTTGTTTCCATGATGATATGGGCAGATTTCAAGATTTCAGAGTGAGTAATATTGACTTCCAAATAACTTCATTGTACTTTTCAACTTGCCCATTTCAAGTCGGATTGTAAGGGGTTGTTTTGTTAGTTGTGATCCTTTTTGATAAGAAACAGTGCTTTTATTCAGAAAACATTAATAAGGATCCACAATCCGAATGAACATTGTTAGGCATACTAAACATGGAAAAAAGATCACCTAATCAGTTTATTATTGTCTGAGTTGTCATATCTTTTACAGGATAATCAAAGGGGAAATGTGAGTATTTGCTTACAATTGTTAGCATATATTGTTCAGGGGTTAAAGAAGGTAATGGACCTTTGGAGTCAATAGATATAATTTTGAATGGCTAAGTTGCTTTAATTAGGTGCACATCATTTGGGCGGTAGTACTTGGGTTTTATTTCTTTACATATTCTACAACTCCTACATATTTGTTTTAAATCTTCTACTGAATAAGAGAGGTTTCTTGATTGAATAGAATGATGGTAGTGAGCAACACCAGGATGGCAAAGTGCAGCATGCAAATCATATAAAGATTCTGAACTTATTGCTGCACATCTAACTTGAGTAAATGTATCTGGACCACTATTACATTGGCCAGGAAGATAATGGATATCATAAAAAGATGAAGACAAATACTTGTCATTAACTATGATGTTATGAAAGCTGTTATGGTGGCACAGAAATAGTTGTCATCAATTTTAGGAATAGCAGCAGAAACATTAAATGATCTGCAAAGTTTTTCAAAATGACCAATCTTTTTACATTTGTGACAGATAGCTTCACAAGCAGGACATTCAGTACGTGGATGCCTTATGTTTCCACAAAACCAGCACAATTTTTTTGATTTTACTGTAGCAGCTAAGCGATTTTCAGTTGTGGATTGTTTTTGTAAAAATGATTTGATTTCCTGAAAAGAGGCAGAGGTAATTATAGTCAATCGTGAGTCTATGTTTGAATTCTGTTGAGCCACGTCTAAAGATCTAGCTCGGTCAAAGGCTGATGAAAGATTTAATATCTTATTTTCTAGTAAACGTTGGCATATGATGTTGGAGAGTAAGCCATTTATAAAAGCACTGCGAATCATTTCAGATTTATATAGCTCAGCAGTAACAGCATTGAACTTACAGTCTTTAGAAAAGTTTTTAAGTTCATTTAGGAATTGATCGATTGATTCACTTGGTTTTTGCTTCTTTTTGCTTTGTTGACAAAATGTGCCTGGCAAATATCTCATTCTTTGGTTTTATGTAGATAGACTTGAGAATACCTGTTGCTTGTCTAAAATCATCACACTCTGATATGAATTTATAGACATTGGGTTCAATATGGTTTATTAGGAGATTAAGCTTGATGGAGTTATCATCAACTGTACTTACAAAATTGTAAAATACTCTTAACCAATGGTTGTATGTTTTTTCTGCATCTGTTAAGTTCGGATCTATACTAAGTCTAATAGATTTCATGAACCAATCAATCTTTCTTTTATTTCATAGCAACATTTTAGCTCTTTTGATTGTAAAGAATAACCAAATTAGTTATGTTGGCTCATAAGAGTTATAATTATACTAGTCTATAACAAAATAACAAAATACATAAAGTATATATAGTATAATACAAAACGTATATGTATATATAAATATTTCATATTAACATAACATTTATAAACTAAAATTTTTTATAAAAAATACTTATATGGTAAGATAAAAAAATTCCCCCTTACCCTCCTTTTATTAACCCCATTCTTCCCATTTATTAAATCTGGACTAAAATTCCCACCCCCTTTTATTCCTACCCCCGCTTGTATTAAACTCGAGAGTATATAATTTTAATATTTTTATAATTATATTTAGTTGTGTAATGGATGAATTTACTTAGTTGTATATAAAAACATGAAAGTAAAATTGAAAACCATTTCTATTCAATATATATAACAAATTTATACAATGAAAAATCTAATCAAACCTTTTTTGATCCAAATCTAGTTGTCAACTAAAAATAAAATAATATGGCAAATAAATATAACTTTGCATTTGAATAAATATTTAGCAACTAATTAGAATTATACAAACCTTATTTAATATTGTCATTTGAGATATTAAAAGTAGAATTGAAACTATTAAAAACAGTAAGCCAATATCAGATGTTGTCATACCAAGTCCAC